TTTGATAATGGAGTACCCTCTATGGTGGTTTGAGAACGGCATTCATCAGCCCAATGTCTCCCTCTACGGCATCGTGGGCAAATATCTGGTATTCTACTCCTTCGATACCTAGTTTTGTTAAACCCTCCTCCAATGGGGCAATTCCTTTTAAAATGTCCTGTTTGTTCACAATTGTAGCATGTTCTTGGCCTGGCATCTAAAGCCTGTTTTACTGCAGCTGCCACAATTTGCCCTTGTTCATTAATGTCTCTGGCATCTAAAGCCTGTTTTACTGCAGCTGCCACGACTTGCTCTTGTTCATTAATGTCTCTACATAATTTAATATATGTGTTTAAATCTTCATGTTTCCATGGTCTAATGATATCTCTGCACCAACGATTCGCTTGCTCATAAGCCAGGTGTTTTAGTAATGGCATTGCTTGTTCTGTATTCCCAAAAACTCTGGTAGCTGTTTGAATAAGCCTATCTACAAATTCAGCATAAGGTTCATTAGCTCCTTGTATTACCTTAGATAATTGACCTTGTAAACCTCCATGTCCTTGTAAAGTCTTCCATGCCTTAATTGCATCTGCAGCAATTTGTGCGTATACGCCAGGATCATATGCAATTTGTTGCTGCTGATCCTCATAAGGTCCCTTTCCTAACAACATATCTAGATTTCTCTGAGGATAACCAGCTGCTGCATTTCGCCTAGCCGTCTCCTTGCAAAATTCCTCATTGGCAACCTTCCATAACAGGTATTATCCTCCATTTAGCACAGCTTTACACATATTAGCCCAATCTGCTGGCGTCATGTTCAAGTTGTTAATGGATTCGACCATGCTTACAGTGAAGGGTGCTTGAGGACCATAGGTTGTTACAGCCTCTTTTAGCTGCTTCACTGTTTTGAAATTTAAAACTTGGTAAAATCGCTGCCCTCCTGCCTCAAATACAGGGCATGTTAATATTTGAGATCTTGTCTCAGGATCCCAACTACTGTTCATTATCCCCTTTGCCAGGTATGTAAATGCTGGTTCTTTGCTGTGTATGGATTCTTCCTCACCTATCTTGTTGGAAGTTCACTGAACTCTCTGAACTTGGAATATGTAGTAATTATTATTTTCTGTGCTTAGTTCAAGCCTTACATGGATATGGATATATTTTGTCCGTTTTTCATTACTGTAAGAAAACAACTAAAGATGGGTAACTCTATAAAGAAAAGAGGTTTATTTAGCTCACAGTTTTAGAGACTGAAAGTCTTAGATCAGGAAGCCCCATCTGCTCAGCCTCTGGTGGATAACATCATGACAAGAACATTTGTGAGCAAGAGATCACATCCCAAAATAGGATGCTCAGGGATTCAGGAGTCAGGCTCAGATTTTATAACAACATGCTCTCTTTAGAACCAACCTAACAGGCTCCTAAGAACTATCTTAATCCCTTCCAAGGATAGTACCCCTAGTGACCTAAGGATCTCCCTCTAGGCCATAGTTCTTAAAGGTCCCACCTTACCACCTCCCACATCACCACTCTGAGGATCAAGCCTCTAACATGTGAATGTTGGGGAGCAAACCAGATCCAAATCATAGCAACAGAATTAGGACTCCTTCATTATGCTATGAAATTTATTTTAAAGTTACTGTGTCATAGTTCAGTAGGAAAATAATTAGTCTTCCAGAAGACAGTATTAAGTCAAGTAGATATTATTGACCACCTTTCAGTGCAGATTTCTTACTTATAATATTTGTATCCTAAAACAATACAATCTTTGGGAGCCTTCATCCACCATGTCCATATCCTAGAACCACTTTAGATGTGCTATTTAAATGTAAATTACTTTAAATATACATTGCTGATAGAATCAGCAAGTGATGGAATGTCAGTTGGAGTCCTCATTGCTGATATAACCAGCAATGTATACTTATACCTATAATTCCAGCAACTCAGGAGGCTGAGTCAGGCGATCACTTGTTTGAGACCAGCCTCAGCAACTTTGTGAGACCCCATCTGTCGTGATGGGCAAAAGGTGTGACTTATGCAGTCAAGGGGGAGAAATAAAGAATGTCTGCCGTAGTCTGGCTGGGCACAATCAGGAGCCACTTGTCAAAAGAAACTAACTTTATTTTTAGAACCACACACGACAAACAAAATAGTCTCTCAGGAAAAACCCTCAGAGCCTCAACTGCCACCACCGGCTTTCCCCAAGCCTCTCTCTCCCCCCCAGCTTCTCTCCACCTCCCACAATCCTCCTGCTCTTGAGGCTGATTGGCTGGGTCACGTGGGCAGAGCCAAAAAAGTCCCCCAGTGAGCAGCTCCGTGGTCTGAAAGGGCAGGGAAACAGTCCAATGAGCATCACCGCAGAGGAGCCAATCAGCTAGATGTTGCTGGGGCCGAGGAGCCAATCAGCTAGATGTTGCTGGGGCCGCTGTGAGCCAATCATCAGCCAGCAGCTGGAAGTTTGCTGGCAGCTGGAAGTTTGCTGGGGCCCCTTTGGCTGTGGCTCTCAACATCTCCCCCTCTCTGTTTAAACAACAAGCATGTGGCTTAGGGACCGTGCCTGTTAGGCAGTCCAATTCAACATATGGTCCTTACCCGTCATCGGATGAACTGACCTCTAGGCGTCAGCCTCCTGTCTTAGGTTGGTACCACTGCAATTGGATCATACCCGTCACTGACTACCGGTCCAGCATACAGCCATACTTGTGGATAGGCCTTTGCACCTGTGGGGGGGTGAGGTTCTTTGCCTCACCTCTGTTGGCCCCCAAATTTTAGACCATCACTAGTAGAGGAGGATGCAAAATGCCATGACATTAAGCCAATTGAGGGCTCCTAAATTGTACCACCGGTGACACCATCAGCAAAAATACTCCAGCACTACCACAATTCGCTGTACCAACAGATAGTTCACAATGCATACAGGTGAGCTCACAATGTGTCCAGGCAAGTTCTGCAAGCAGTTCAGTGATGGCTATTGTAGAAGCTGTAGATTGGTTTTATCTTTCACTTCAGTTTGCTGGGGCCCCTTTGGCTGTGGCTCTCAACAAATGTCCATGTGCTTCTGCCCCTTTTCAGTGCTTTATTCACTCAAATCATTCAATACAATTTCACTCTATAGGTTCTCTTTTTTAAAATATTCATTTTTTGTTGTAGTTGGACACAATACCTTTATTTTATTTATTTATTTTTATGTGGTGCTGAGGACCAAACCCAGGGCCTCGCACGTGGTAGGCAAGCACTCTACCGCTGAGCCACAACCCCAGCCCACTCTATAGGTTCTTAATCAAGAAAAACTACAATCATTAATGTGAGGCACTGCAATGGACATAATCAATTCACAGCAAACAATTCTAGATTAATTCTAAGCACTACAAACACACTTAATCATGACAGGCTCATGACAGACATTCCCTCTGCATATTAAGCTCAAGTGTCTGATCAAAAGAAGCCTTAGGCTTTAAGTCCAGCAGATGCCCACTCATTCTGACCTTGGTGATCAGGTCAGGAACCAAGGCAGGCTTCTGTGGTGGACCTGAAGGCCGGTTGAGGAGAGGATCATAGGGAGAAGTTGCAGCTTTCACCATTGTCAAGATGTGGCTGTAGAGTTTGAGAGTGGTGAGAACCACGCAGAGGATCAGGCAAAGGATGACAAGTGATTGGATGTCAGTCCAGGTCCTCATCAGGCTCTCCAGCTTGTGTGCATCAGTATTGGCTGGCTGAATATCTGTTCATTTGCTCCATTACTTACACTCAATTTGGGGGCTTTTGACCCCCCTTTCAATCCTTATCAGCTACCATTGGATTTCTCAATGACATCATTTACCCTGGGGTTAAAACATCTGGTCTGATGGTCCCCACCCTGATCTTTTCACCTTTCCCCCTTATCCTGTGAGGACAGCCTGAGTTACTCTAAGTTTATGGAGGAGGTGGGAGAGTGACTTGTTTGTGCCTGAGGGCCATACTGGAGGGCTCCTTAGGTGTGCCTGGTGAGACTTGCAGGTTTCAAACTGGAGTTTTTTAAAATGTAGTTGCTTAGACTTAGGCCTAAGGCCATCCTCACACCATTTCAGAACAAAAAAGGGCTAGAGATGTAGTCTAGTGGTAAAGGGCCCCTGGGTTCAATCCACAGTACTATAAATATACATTATATATTTTGTACACACACACACACACACACACACACACACACACACATGAAAGTAAAATTGAAAATTCAGTTCCTCAGTCACAGTAGCCACAAAGTGTTTAATTAGCCATGTGTGGCTGATGACTACTGTATTGGGTAATAGGACATTTTGATCAATGAAAAAAGTACTTCTCTAAAGAATAGAGGTGAGAAATTTTCTTTACCATATGAAAGTCAGATAGTTATATACACCAACTATTTACTCTATTTAACATTTGTTCTTGTCCATAAATTGAAGACATTTTTAGAAGTGAAAAATGTTGCCACATTCCTATACAAGATACTGCTTTCAAATCATCCAGTGTTTAGCTTTTCATGTGAAAGTGTTAAACAGGCAGCAGGATAAAGATTTCAAACATTTCCATCCACCAAAAAGAAACTCTCTAGTTTATCCTTCCTATTTCCTTCCCTTCTCTGTCCTCTTTTCTCAGGTAAGGGTAGGCACAACTTCAGTCTTAAGATGAGGTAAGACTTGGAGAAGTAGAAAGGCAAATGTTTGTGTATATGTTTTGGTAGGTGTATGTAGGTTTTGGGGAAAATGACTTAACTTTTAGAATAATCATTTTTTATATGAGTAATCTGAGGTTAGAGGAAGTGATTGCCCTAGATCAGAATAGTGGTAGATCCAGGACTAAAACATGTGTCCATGACCCACAAATCAATGGGCATTCTACTAAATGATTTGTCTTTCCCATTTTTATTCTTTATTCACTATTATTGCTACAGATCCAATGGCAAAAATTTAGAGGTAAGAATAATTAACTATTATAATCAATTTATTTAAAGAAATGATGCTTTTTATGTGTCTTAAAGGATTTGGTAATTGTAATTTTTACAGATTGAAGAAGAAGAGAGGAAGAAGATAGAAGATATGAAAGAAAATGAACGAAAAAAAGCAACTAAAGAATTGGAAGCCTGGAAAGAGTGTCAAAGAAAAGCTGAAGAACGAAAAAGAATTCAGAAAGAAGAGAAATTACATCAACAAGAAAAGCAAATTGACGAAGAAAGAAAAAAATTAAGACATAAAAATCTCACTAAAAATTCAACATCTAAAAATCTTGCCACAAAAGGTACATGATTAATATTTTTTTGGAAAAGTGAGTACTGTTGGTAAAGTATATATGACACTATTTTATTATGATAATTATTATTATTTTGGTAAACCTGTTCACAGTATTAGGTTGTTTTGTATATTGAGAATAAGCACTATAATATGAAGATTAAAATGAAATGTTAATATATAAGAAATATATTTCTTCTTATAAGAAGTAGTAAACTTTTCTAATAAAATGACTAAGGATTCAGTGTCTTTGCTTATGTGCCTTAAAAAAAAAGATGCAGATGCTGTTGAAAATGTTCTTAATTTAGGTCTCAAAAGAGTTGGACTGGCCAAGCAGCATAAGGAGTATTCATTTATTCCTTTAAATATGAGGAACTAGGAATTTCAGTGAAAGACTCTTTCCTAACATGACTGAGGAAAGTGAGTACTATAAGCAAACTTAGTCTTCAGTATATAACAAGGGCTGCTTCTGGCCTTTGATCCTGATGCATTCAAAGATAGGTAAAAGATTATAATTGTTTATTGAAAGCTAAATTTGACTTTATCTGATTTTAGAATATTGAACTTTATTGTAGATTTATAGAAGTCTCCCTTTATCCTTGAGGGATATGTTCCAGGATCCCCAGTGGATTCCTGAAATTGAGGATAGTAATGAACCCTATATATACTATGCTTTTTCCTATACATACATACCTATGATAAATTTTAAAGTTTTAAATTGTTCACTGTTCTGAGTAGTGTGATAACATCTTGTGCCATCCTGCTCTGTCCTTCCCAGAATGTGAATCATCCTTTTGTCCTCTGTATCCCTGTAGTATGTACCTGTTAGTCACTTAATAATCATTTTGGTTACAGAATCCTGTGAGAATGTTTATGTTAACAATTTAGGCAACTGAAATGAAATGTACTAATTTATTGAAAAATAAAGTGTACCCTAATTGGCACAGATAAAAGAGCAAATTTGAAAAGACACAGTAACTGAACTGGCTGTTATAAATCTTTCCACAGGGGCATTGTAGTTTAGTGGTATAACATTTGCCTAGCCTGTTTGAAGACCTGAGTTTGATTCCCCAGCATGGGAAAAAAAATTCTGGGAAAAAAAACCTCCAGATCCCAATGGTATCAATAATGGATTTGGGCTGGGCTGTGGCTCAGCGGTAGTGCACTTGCCTGGCATGTGTGAGGCACTGGGTTTGGCTTTCAGCACCACATATAAATAAATAAAATAAAGGTCTATAAACAACTAAAAAACTTTAAAAGAAAAATTTTAAAAATGGATTCTACCAGACATTTAAAGAATGTCTGAAAAACAAAAAAGAATTCAGAAAGAAGATAAAATAATACCAATTTTACATAAAACTCTTTCATAAAATAGAGGATAGAGGAACACTTCTCAACTCTCCCCCCGCCCTTTTGAGGCCAATATAATTCTAAAATCAAATTCTAACAGAGATATTACAGAAAAAGAAAACTGTAAACCTATGTGCCTTATGAATATAAATGCAAACTTCTGCAACAATACAGTAGCAAATTAAGTCCTACAATAGAAAATAGAATTTATTTAGGACTGCAAAGTTGGCTTACCATTTGAAAATCATTCAGAATAATTCATCACATTAACAGAATAAAGGAAAAAATGTGATCATTTAAATATTACAGAAAGACATTTGACAAGATCCAACACTCATTTATGAAAAATTTCTCAACAAACTTCATATTTTCCAAGCAAACATCATATTTACTGTTGAATTATTGAATACTTTGCCCTATAGATCCAAGAACAAAGCAAAGATGTCCATTTTCACTATTTCTACTTAACATTATACTTGAAGTCTTTCCCATTGTGTTAAGACAAGAAGAAGAAATAAAAAGCATAAAGATTAGGTGAAGTTGGGTGTGGACATTCAAACCTAGAATCCCAGTGGCTTGGGAAGCTGAGGCATGAGGATAACAGGTTCAAAGGCAGCCTCAGCATCTTAATGAGGCCCTACTTAACCTAGCAAGAACCCAGTCAAAATAAAAAAATTTTTTAAAAAGGCTGGATCAGTGGCTAAGCCCCTCTGTCCAAATAAATAAACAAACAAACAAGGTGAGAAACAGAGATGATTTTCAATGTAGAAATCCCTAAGGAAGATACAGAATAACTACTAGAACTAATTAGTAGATTTAGCAATGTTTTGGGTTATAATATTATGAAAGTCACTTGATATTTTTATTTATCAACAGCAAACAATTGGAAAATCAAACTTGAATCCATTTGTAGTAGCCCTAAGAAACATAAAATATTAATGAATAAATTTAACAAAAGAAATTCAAGATCTCATCACTGAAAGTTATGGAGTCATTGCTGAGAGATAGTTTAAAAGGCCTACATAAATGAAAAGGTATAACATGCTCATGAATTGGTAAACTTGATATTGTTAAGGTGCTAATTCTTACTGATTGATTGACTGACTGATTTTGATTGATTTTCATCTAGGGATTGAACCCAGGGATACTTTACCACTGAGCCACATCCCCAGTCCTTTTTTTTATTTTTTATTTTGAGATAGGGTCTTGCTAAATTGCTTAGGGCCTCACTAAGTTGCTGAGGCTGGCCTCAAACTTAAGATCCTCCTGCCTCAACTTACAAGTGCTACAATTACAGGCATGTACCACCATGCCTGGTTCCAATTCTCTTTTTCTTTTTCTTCTTCTTCTTCTTCTTTTTTTTTTTTGGTTGTAGATGATATTACACAATACCTTTATTTTATTTATTTATTTATTTATTTCTATGTGATACTTAGGATTGAACCCAGTTCTTCACATGTGCCAGGCACGCACACTCTACCAGTGAGCCACAAACCCAGCCCTCTAATTCTTTTTAAATTGACCTATAGATTCAGTGCAGTTCCAGTAGAAATCCCTTAGAGGCCAGGTGCAGTGGCATATGCCTATAATCCTGCGGCTCACGGGGTGGAGGCAGGAGAATTGCAAGTTCAAAGCCAGCCTCAGCAATTTAGCGAGGTGCTATTAGAGAAGGTAGAAGAATTACTAATAAAATACAAAATAAGGCTAGGGATGTGGCTCGGTGGTCGAGTGCCCTTGAGTTCAATCCCTGGTATCCCCCCCACAACCAAAAAAAAACCCTTAGAAATTTACAAGTTGATTTTAAAATTTTATGAGAATGCAAGTGACCTAGCAAAAGAAATGAAAAAAAGGGGGGTGGATTAAAATACCTGATTTGAAGACTTAGCATCAAGCTACAGTAATAAAGACAGGGTGGAACTAATGAAAGAATGAATATACAGTTTAAAAGAGCAGAGTACAGCATGGTACATTAGCACATGCCTGTAATTCCGGCTACTCTTGGATGGGTGAAGCAGGAGGATCACCAAGATCGAGGCACACACCTGGGCAACTTAGTGAAACTGTCTTGAAATTTAAAAAGAACAGGCCAGGGATGTAGCTTGTAGTAGAGTGCTTGCCTAGCATGTGCAAGACCCTGGTTCAATCCCTAGTACTGAACAGTAGGCTATGATGCTAAAATAAAGAGTACTGAAGAAGCAAGAGATTTGGAAAATTTTTCAGAAAGTAGAACAGAATGACAAAAAGATTTAAAATAGAAAAAAGAAAACAATTGGAAAATTCATCTAAGACATCCAATATCAAATAATAGAAATATTAGGAAAAGGGAAAGAAAAATAGGAGAGGAAATCATTAAAAGTGTTTTCTTAAATTCTGAGAATTAAAATAAATGAGTTTTTAGGTTGAAAGGTTCAAGCTAGTCTTTTTGTTTTGAGATGGTATCAGAGAATGCCACAGACTGGGTTATTTATTTATTTATTGAACCCAGGGGACTCTACCACTGAGCTATATCCTCACCCCTTTTTATTTTTTATTTTGAGACAGGATCTCAATAAGTTGTCTAGGCTTACAGTTAACTTACAGTCTTCCTACCTCAGCCTCCCTAGTAGCTGGTATGCAGGTGTGTGCCATCACAGCTGGTTATGTTTAGTTTTATAATAGTTGACAACTAGTTTAGTTTCATAATAGTTATGGGTTTTTCAGATTTTCTATTTTTTTCAAGTTTTGGTAACTTGTTTTCTAAATTGGTCATTTCATCTTTTCAAATTTGTTTCCATAAAATTTTTCTTATTTAATTATGTCTATTCTTAGACATCAGGTAGGTTCAAGCTAACCATTGTAATAAAGAGGTCCAAAAAATTAAGTTATTTGTAATGTGACACTTTCTTTTGCTATAGTGATCAATCTCGGTCTGATAGATGACTCTGTACCCACAGGAACCAAGGTCCAGACTGATATATTCACTTCTGTCTCACATCATCTGACTGGCATTCCTAGGTTCAAGAGGCCTTTTCTCTTCCCTGCACACCTCCTTTGAAATGTCTTTTCTAATTTTTTATTTAATTATTTATTTATGGGATGGATCTCTCTGTGTTGCCCAGGCTGGCCTGGAACTCGTAGGCTCAAGTGATTCTTCTACCTCAGTCTCCCAAATAGCTAGGATTATACCTGGCCTTTTTCAAGTTTTTAAAAATAGTAATGTGTTTTTTTCCTCTTTCTCTCTTTGTTTATATTTATTTTCTGTCAAGGGTATTACTCCTTTTTTTTTTTTTTTTTTTTGTGTGTGTGTGAGAGAGAGAGAGAGAGAGAAAACACCTAGGGGCACTCTACCACTGAGCCACATCCCCAGTCCTTTTTATGTTTTATTTTGAGACAGGGTCTTGCTAGGTTGCTGAGGCCAGCCTCAAATTTGTTATAGTCTCAGACTCCTGAATCGCTACCGTTACAGGCATGTGGCATTCTACCTGGCCCTATCCTATTTCTTGCAAATCTTTTTTTTTTTCACCAGTTTTAATATTTGCGTTTAAGCCTGTGTATCATATTTTTGGTCCTTTATTGATAGTTTGCTTTTTATTGTTGTTGCTGTTGTTTTTAAGCTACCTTTTCTTTATTCAAATAGGTTATATTCCAATTTCTGTTATATGAACTTAACAGTCATTACAGCACATCACCTTTATAAAAATGTTTAGCCTTTCATTAGTATTCTTTGCTTTTTCTCATTTCCTCTCTTTGATGGATGAAAAACTTACACTCTTACAAGGAAATGTGTGGGAGATATTGTCATAGAGTGTAAGAAAGTTAAGGTAGTATTGACAATGATGGCTTTGCATAGGTGCTTCCTCTAGAGTTGATGTAGAGTTGTCTAAGTGCCCTTTTTTAGAAATGATGTAAATTCAACATTGTGGTTCAATAAAGAGAATCCTAGAAGAGTAATGGAGTTATTGATTAAAGAATAGATTAGCTGTCATGTTATTTTTTAAAATAACTTTTTAGTTGTTGATGGACCTTCATTTTATTCATTTATTTATATGTGGTGCTGAGAATTGAACCTAGGGCCTCACACATGCTGGGCAAGTGCTTTACAACTGAGCCACAACACCAGCCCTTGCCATGTTATTTTATATTTCTTTTTGAAGAAAATATTTTTGGTTCATTTGTTTAGGATTTCAGAATTAACTTAGATGTGTAATCATCTTAGAAGTCAATTTGTTAACTAGAAAGTGAGAAATAAATGATTTATTTCTACATTGCTTTTGAAGAGAGAAATTCAGAAAATATATTTTTGGGGAAGTTAAAGGAAGACTGTATTCCTGCACCTCGATCTGTTGGAAATATTAAAATCAACTTCACCCCTCGAGTATTCCCAACTGCACTCCGTGAATCAAAAGTAGCAGAAGAAGAGGAGGTAGATACACTTGCTTTTGTTACAGTGATACCAGTTAAAATGCTTTAATTTCATTTCATCTGTCAAAACTTGTATTAGTTCTGTATTTTTAAGTATTTATTATACTAAAGACTTCATGACTATATTCATGAATGTTTTCTTATGAGAAAGTATATTTTGAAGGTTTATTGTTGACTCCCAAATACTGATGAGACAACATTGATTTAATAAGTATTATTATTATTTATTCTAAAAGAGAAACTATTGCACTTATCATTTATTTTATCAGATGCATCATTTTCTTCTTTTTTTTTTTGGTGTGTGTGTGATGCTGGGGATCTAACTCATAGCGTTGTACATGCTAGCAAGCACTCTACCACTGAGCTATATCCCCAGCCCTCGGTAATGTATCAGTGAACTTTGGAACAGTATGTATTTTAGAAAAAAAAAAAGATTTGAAAATTATCATTAAACTTTCTGAGCCCTGGACTTTAAGTATTGTATCTTTAATTACATAAACACTAAGAAGTATATTTTTTTACTGTAAAGCAAGACTGATGCCTCCTCTCTCAGCTGAAAAGTTGTTGTACAAACTAGGTACAGTGGCACATGCCTACTATAATCCCAGCAGCTGGGGAGGCTGAGGCAGGAGGATCACAAGTTCAAAGTTGGCCTCAGCAACTTAGCAAAAATAAAAAACAAAAAGGGCTGGGGATATAGTTCAGTGGTAAAACACTCTGGGTTCAATCCCCAGTACCAAAAACAAAACAAAACAAAACAAAAAAACTGTGGAAACAACTGAAGATCTTAGCTACTTGGGAGGCCAGCCTGGGCAACTTAGTGAGATCCTGTCAAAGGGATGGAGGTGTAGCTCACTTTCCTAGCACATGCAAGGCCCTCAGTTGAATCCCCAGTACTTGGGATTGGGTTTGTATAAAGACTGACAGTTTAAAATCATCATCTAGTGCATTTTCTGTTCAGGCTGCTATAATCAAAATATCACAAATTTAGTGGCTTAATCAACAAACATTCCTTTATTATGGTTTTAAGATCAGGGTGGAAGGAAGCATGGCCAGATTTTTGTTGTGGGTCCTCATCCTAGTTTGTACACGACTACCTACTTAATATACCTTCACATGATGGTGGGGAAGAAGAGCTTTTTGATCACTTTTTTTTTTTTTTGTACTGCTGAAGATTGAACCCAAGGGTGCTCTGCCACTGAGCTATATCCTTAACCTTTTTAAAATTTTGAGACAGGATCTTGCTAAATTCATTAAGGCTAGCCTTGAATTTACAATCCTCTTACCTCAGCATCCCAAGTACCTGGGATTACAGGCATGTGCTACCACTCTGGCTTTTCTCTTCCTATAAGGAGACTAAGCTCATGATGGGGTTCTACCTTCATGATCTTATCTAAACTTAATTACCACTTAAAGGTCCCATCTCCAAATACCATCACGCTGATGGTTGGGGCTACAACATATGAATTTGGGGTGAGACACAAGCATTCAATCTCTAAATCTAAATAATATTTCTATCTATTGAAAGAAGATGAAAAAATTAAAGTTAACTGTTAATTAAAAAATCAGATCTTTGTATATGATATGGTTTGATTAGAGTTTGTCCCCCATGTTCAGTAGCTTTCTGTCACTGTGAAAAAATACCAAAGGAAACCAACTTATAAGAAGGAAAGATTTATTTTTAGATCACAGTTTTGGAGGTTTTAGTCCTTTGTTGATTGGCCCTGTTTCTTTTGGTCCTATGGTAAGGCAGAACATGGAAGCACATGGCGGAGGAGACCTATTTACCTCATGTTGACTAGGAAGCACAGACAGAGTAAAGGGACTGGGATCCCAGTATCCCTTTGAAGGTCATACCCTCAATAACCTAACTTCCTTCCATTAGGCCCCACCTCCTAAAGGTTCTTCTTCCTCCCAATAGTACTGCAATCTTTTTGTTTATTTTTTTTTAAATTTTAGGCGGCAGGTACCAGGGATTGAACCCAAGAGCACTTATCCACTGAGTCATATGCCTGGCCCTTAAAAAAAAAAAAAAAATATATATATATATATATATATATGTGTGTGTGTGTGTGTGTGTGTGTGTGTGTGTTTTAGTTGTAGATGGACACGGTATCTTTATTTGGTTCATTTATTTTTATGTGGTGCTGAGGATCGAACCCATCAGCACAGATGGAACCCAGTGCCTCACACTCACTAGGCAAGCACTCTACCACTGAGCCACAACCCCAGCCCTCCCTAGCCCTTTTTATTTTTTATCTTGAGACAGGTTCTCACTAAGTTGCTTAGGGCCTCACTAAGTTGTTGAGGCTGGCTCTGAACTTATGATCCTCCTGCCTCAGCCTCCCGAGTCTCTGGGATTACAAGCATACGCCACCACGCCTGGCTGTAACCAAGCCTTTTAAAACATGGCTTTGGGGGACATTTAAGATCCAAACTATAACATCCCCCAAAGGTTCATATGCTAGAAACTTGGTCCCAAAGTAAAGGTATTGATTGAGTGGTGTTAGATCTTTAAGTGGTGAGGCCTAGCAGAAGGTGACTGGGTAATGAATACACCATCCTTGGAAATGATTAGTGCTAGTCTTGAAGAGTGGAGTATAAATCAGGGAGCCTGGCCATTTCCTATCTCCTGCTTCCTTTCTCCTTATTTGATCCCCCACCCTACACACCCTGCTCTCGCTCTCTCTCTTACTCTCCCTCTCACCACACCCTTCACACTTGTACCCACCACATGCCATTCACCATGTTGTAATGTAGCCAGAAGGCTCTTACCAGAACCTGACCAGGTAGGGGTCATTCAGTCTTAGACTTAAAAGCCTCCAAAACTATGAGTAAAATGAACCTCTTTTCTTTGTAAGTACCCAGACTTAGGTGTTTTGTTATAGCAACACAAAATAGACTAAGACAGTGTCCTTTCCAAGACTTCCTTTTCATTTCAGTGGCTACATAAACAAGCTGAGGCACGAAAAGCGATGAATACTGATATTCCTGAATTTTGCGACTTAAAAGAAGACGAAAAGAACCCAGAATGGTTGAAGGAGAAAGGAAAGTAAGTTGTTTAAAATCTGACCATGCGATGTAAAATGTATGTAGGCATTGGTAATAATCACATTTTCTGGATATTTTGACCTCTGTGTTTATAGTATTTGTTAGTGAGGAGAGATAACACAAATAAGCAAATAAGGTAGGCAGGGCCTCCATACTTAAGAAGTCAGATAATATGACAAATATGGGTCTTATTTATTTTTGGTACTGGGGATTGGCCTCAGGGGCACTTGACCACTGAGCTACATCTACAGCCATATTTTGTATTTTATTTAGAGATAACATCTCACTGAGTTGCTGAATGCCTTGCTTTTGCTGAGGCTGGCTTTGAACTCATGATCCTTTTATTTCAGCCTCCCGAGCCTCTGGGATTATAGGCATGCACCACCACTCCCTGCTATGGGTCTTATTTTTAAATATAAATGTCATATAAATGAAAATATTTCATCTTTTGGGGTGTTTATTAACATCCCTTTTAAAGCTGGGTATAATGGTGCACACCTGTAATCTCAGCAGCTCAGCAGGCTGAGACAGGAGTATCACAAGTTCAAAGGCAGCCTCAGCAACTTATCAAGGCCCTCAGTAACTCAGTGAGACCCTGTCTTTAAGTAAAATACAAAAAAGTGCTGGGGATGTGGCTCAGTGGTTGAGTGCCCCTGGATTCGATCCTCAGTACCAAAAAAAATTGATTAATTAATTAAATAAAATCCCTTTTAAAATCACTTTTACATTTAGCATAAGTCCTTCCTAATACCTTCCTTAAAAACAGTTTTTAAAATAATTATTTTTATTATTCATTTCTATTTATTAAAAAGTACTTAATTGCCAGGTGCGGTGGTACATGACCTTAATCTCAGCTACTCAGGAGGCTGAGGTCAAATTTGAGATCAGCCTCTGCAACTTAGTGAGATTTGTCTCAAAATTCAAAGGGCTGGGAATGTAGCTTACTGGTAGAGTGTTCCTGGGTACTGTCCCCATACCACAAAAAAATCAAATTAAAAAAATTATAAATAATTAAGTCCCAAATTATTTTTTAAATTGCATTTTATATCTAAACTGTCATTTTATTTTCTATGTTTGGTTCTGTGCATGAGTATTTTAATACAGTTATTAAAAACAGTGAAGTGTAGTGTATTCTGGGTAGCAATATGAGCTCATACTTTGAGGAAGTTGTGGATTTTTTTTTTTTTTTTTGGTACCCGGAATTGAACCCAGGGGCGCTTAACCACTTAGCCACATCCTTATCCCTTTTTGACTTTTTGTTTTTTATTTAGAGACACAGTCTCACTAAGTTGCTTAAGGCCTCACTTAGTTACTGAGGCTGTCTTTGACTTATGATTCTCCTGCCTTAGACTCCCAAGTTGCTGGGATTACAGGCATGTGTCACTATGTTCGGCTTTCTTTTTTTCTTTTGTAAGGTCCATTAGACAACATTAGTTCCTTCCACCTTCATAACTTAGGAAACTATCTCAAGATCTTTAACTTAATCACACCTGCAGGGTCCTTTTTATCATATTAAATAACATATTCATGAATTCTGGGAATTAGGATTTTAGGATGTAGACATCTTTTTGGGGAACATAACATCTCTATTTTTCTTTTCTCATATTTTCTCTTGGTCTTTTCTTCTGTTACAACACCAGGGGGTGGTTTGTTGCATTTAGGTGGATTTGGCAATTTTTCTGAAGGTTAGAAGCTTGAGGTATGATAGGTTGGTTCTTCTTATTCTGAACACTAAAATTAATGTGATCTTTCCTCTTCTATCTCTTCTTCCTTTTTTCCTTCCTCTCCATTTATTCAACCATTAAATCAACATCTGTTGGTTACCAGTGACTTGCCAGACTATAGCATGGAACTGCACTAAGAGAGCAGGGTAGAGACACACAAATACTTTAATACTGAATGGGAAGTACAGTAAGTGAGATGAGGAAAGGAATATGAAATTATGGAAAAGGGGCACCTAACCTTAAAGGCAGGAAGGTAAGCTGAGAAAAAGCTTTATACAGAAAATAGTACTTGAATTCCTTTTAATGATAACTAAGTTTTAGGAGGAATATAGAGAAAAGCATTTGTTTTAGGCAGAGGTGACAGAATGAACAAGAACACAGAAACAAGAAATAGTATGATGAAACTACAGGAAATTTATTCTTTGCTGAAACATAAAATTTGACACTATGGAGATTGACGAATGAGCCTAGACAAATGCTATAGAGGCTTGTAAGATTCTTTTTTTTTTTTAATGTTGTAGTTGAAGGCCTTTATTTCTTTTTATATTTTTTTATTCTTATTTGTTATATATGACAGCAGAATGCATTACAATTCATATTACACATATAGAGCACAATTTTTCATCTTGTAAGATTCTTACATGTTAGACCATAAGGTAGAGAAAAACTTTTTTTGTTGCAAAAACCCAGACAAAGCCTTTGAATTATGCCTCTATTATAGAGAAAGGGTGATTTGAGAAATATTTATGGAGTAAAATGGTCAGAAATTATTATTATTTTCAGTGTTGGGAATTGAACCCAGGGCCTTGAGCATGCTAGGTAAGCTGTCTACCACTGAGTTATACAGCAGCTCAGAAATTCTTGACTGATTGTTGGGAGTGAGAAAGAAAAAGTACTTGTGAGTGACTTCCACATTTTTAGCTTGAGTGATTGTGGGATGCCACCAACTGAATTTTAGAATACTTAGAAGAAGAACTAGTTAGAAGGGAATGCTAGTAAGTTTGATTTTGAATAGGTTAAATTTGAGATCGTCTCTGAGGCAGTGACAGTGTGCAACAAGTATGAAACTCAGGGAAGAGGCCAGCGCTATGGATATATTATATTTGTGGGTTATCAGCATTTTAAATAGTAGGTAAATTTATAAGAGTAGGTAAGATGGGCTGCAAATATAGCTCAGTGGTAGAGTGTGTGTTTAGCATGTACAAGGGCCTGGGTTCAATCCTCAGCACTGAAATAAACAAAAAACAAAGACAATTAAAAAAAAAAGTTAGTGGTACATACTTGTGATACTAGCTACTTGGAGACTGAAACAGAAGTTCACAAGTTTGAGAGCAGCCTCAGCAACTTAGTGAGACTCTGTCTCAAAATAAAAAGTAAAAAGGGCTGGGGATATAGCTCAGTCCCTAAATTCAATACTAGAGAGTACTACTGAAAAACAAAAAGTCTTCGGATTTCCCAAAATAGTGTATAGACTTACAGCAGTGGGCTGAGGATAGCACCTAGTAACATTTAAAGGACCCACAAAATGCTGCTAGAAATAAATGAAGTGGAAACTCTTAAGGAAAGGTTTGTTTGTTTGTTTTGTTCTTCTTTAGATTAGAAAAGGTTTGAATAAATTCAGAGGCAAGGAGAAATAAAAGGTCATTGAAATGTCTCTAAAAGTGGAGAAATTTAGGTCAAGGCTAAGGTTGGAGGGATTGTCTGATTTTGTTCAGTTTTGTTTCTCTTTTTCAAAGTTGCATTAACTTTATAGTACAAAAAAAATCTTTTATTAAAAAAATTTGCACAAGTCCCCCTTTCTCCCCACACCTCATTCCCTGTAATCCCAGGGATTGAACCCAGAGTCTCAGCACATATAGGCAAGCACTCTACCACTGAGTTCATGCCCAGTACTCTAGTATATATTAAATGTATTACATGGAAGTCTCCTTTGAGTTTTCACCTAGTTTGTAGTCTTCCTGCCTACCTTGTCCCTAGCTGTAACCAATCTTGAAAACAGTTTTTTAATTGTATTCTCTTATTTTTTTTTTTTTTTTTTTTTTTTTTTTTAAATTTTTAATATTTATTTTTTAGTATTTGGCGGACACAACATCTTTGTTTGTATGTGGTGCTGAGGATCGAACCCGGGCCGCACGCATGCCAGGCGAGCGCGCTACCACTTGAGCCACATCCCCAGCCCGTATTCTCTTATTTTTAAGCTGCCATTGTCATAATCACAGTATGGTAACAGCTTGTAATAGTTTCCAAAAGTTTTGACATTGAGAGTTCCTTAAATTCTCATGTCAGGACCAGGGCTTGGTGAGCACATGCCTTTATTCTCAGTTACTTGGGAGGCTGAAGCAGAAGGATCACTTGAACACAGAAGTTTGAGGCCTGCCCAAGCAACTTAGTGAGACCCTATCTCAGAAACAAAACAAACCTATGCACGCCTGTAATCCCAGTTTCTCAGGAGGCTGAAGCAGGAGGATCACAAGTTGGAGGCCGTTTAGGGCAATTTAGCAAGCCCCTATCTCCAAACAAAAAAAAAATAGAAGGGCTAGGGATGTATCTTAGTGGTAGAAACATCCCTGGGTTCAATACCATAGCACTAGAGGGGAAAATCCTCATAATTATAGTTGGGTAGGACTAACTGTTTTTGCACTTATTTAACATGTGTATAGAGAAACTAGTAGCTTTGGGGCTGAGGATGTATCTCAGTGGTAGAGCACTTCCCTAACATGTGCAAGGCCCTGGGTTTAATCCCCAATACCAGAAAAAGGAAAAGAAAAATAAAGAGAACTAGCAGCATTTCACAAATTATTTCACTTAATTCCTATAATAACTTGATCAGTTGGATATTATTGTACTCATTTTATAAGGTGGAAACAGGAATAGGGAGTTTGAGAGTCTTGGCTAAAATGATATACAGAATTTGGGATTTGATTCTAGGCAATATGAAGCTTGTGTTCTCACCAGTGCTATAGATTTTTCACACATGAAAAAAAATACACTTCCATGTAAAAATTAATAAATAAATAATTGTTTTGTGAAAATACATTTCCAGTCCTTTTGTTTCATTTACTTAGCCCTAATAAAGGCAGCCCCTGTTTTTGGGGGTATGAATTGGTCCTCCTTGCTTCCTGAGAGTGCAGTGCTAAGTGTATATAGCTGAGTATTGTGTTCTGTTAGATTGCTTACTTTGTTCTAGAAAATGCTGGCAAATTAACTTGGGATGGACAGAAACACTTCATTTTCTGAGATTGGAAGAAAGAACGTAAAGACAAGTGTGGCTCTAGAT